CGTATTTGCGGAACTTCTACGGGGGCACAGTGGTGCTTTTTTTGCGGGCGATGGAGATATTTGGCACTTGTCACGAATATTTGATGTATTAGGGACACCGACGCCCACATCGTGGCCATCGGCGGTGCTGCTTCCCGATTGGGGAAAGGCGCACTTTGAGCCGAAGCGTCCTCTTCCTCTCCGTGAATTTTTCCCGGATGCCTCTGAATGTGCATTGGATTTGTTGCGAAGGTTACTTTGCCTGGATCCTCAAAAGCGTTTGACTGCGGCTGGCGCCCTTCGTCACGCCTACTTTGGTGAATACCCAACGTGAAGGTCCATGGATAAAGGGACGCGGGGGCTATGTGTGGTGTGCGGGGATGAAAATTGGAATTGCTCATATAAATGCGTGCTTATTTTCCTTGACAATCCTTTTTGGTTGTTGTTGTTGTTATTTTAATGGGTTATTATTATTATTTTGATTATTGTTTAAATTTATTTTTATTTTTAAATTATATTTTGTATTTCTTCTTGTGGATTTTTAACTGTGAAGCCCAATTTTTTTCCAAAGTAAAAGAAAACTAACGCGTGTGCGAGAGAGAGAAAGAGGGTGACGAGCACATATCTAACATAATAATGTATCGTTGCTTCCATCATTTCTCCACGTTGCCACTGGCGTTTGTACGACGGACTGCTACAAACAGTTACGTCAATCGCCATATTGGACCATCAGCGGCAGAATCAATTACTATGCTTCGAATAATTGGCAAAGAAAGTCTGTCGGACCTCATGACTGCTGTGATCCCGGAGAATATTTTGCGAATTCCTTTAAAAGAGGCTCCGGCGATGAGCGAGCAGGATGCCCTTTCGCTTCTCCATTCACTGGGTTCACGGAATAAGGTATTAAAGAGCATGATTGGGCAAGGATACTGTGAGCCAGGGCACACCACCTGTAATGCTTCGTAACGTTATCGAGAATCCTGCATGGTACACCCCATACACTCCTTTCCAGGCTGAAATATCTCAAGGCCGTCTAGAGTCCCTGTTGAATTTCAGTCCATGATTATAGAATTGACAGCTATGGATTTGGCAAATACATCTCTTCTTGATCAAGCTGCTGCATGTGCTGAGGCAATGTACCTTGCCTTTCATCATGGTCGAAAGGAGCGTATGACCTTTTTTTTATTATCGAGAGATGTCTTCCCATCTTGCGTAGAGATGGTAAAAACAAGGGCTGAGCCCGTTAAAATAAAGGTCGTTGTTGGTGATCCAAATTTGATTGATTGGAGCGATTCCTCACTCTGTGGAATTTTGGTACAAACTTCAGATGCCATGTGGATGCTTCATGTTTTTACGACACTGTTTGAGAAGGCAAAACAACACGGTGTCGTCAGTTGTTGTGGGACGGATTTGATGGCTTCTGTTCTTCTCAAACCTCCGGGAGAAATGGGAGCCGATGTTGTTTTGGGATCTGCCCAACGTTTTGGTGCCCCACTAGGGTTTGGGGGCCTCACGCCGCATTTTTTGCTGTCAAGGAGGAATTTAAGCGATTGATTCCGGGCCGCGTCATTGGTATAAAAGTAAAGACTCGACGGGTTGTCCGGCCACACGCATGGCGCTTCAGACGCGGGAGCAACGTATTAAGAAGGAACGCGCCACATCCAATATTTGTACTTTGCAAGCGCTACTAGCAAATGTTGCGGCATTTTATGCCATTTATCACGGCTCTGAGGGCTTGAAGGAAATTGCGAGCGAAATGCACAAAAAAGCCAAAATACTTTCTGTTGGTTTAGAGTCTGTAGGGCATACAGTGGTCAATGGTACATTTTTTGATACCGTCACCGTAAATTTAAAAGGTATAACGCCTGAAGACTACGTGAGATGCTGCGTGGAAAAAGGCATTAATATTTTTGTTGATTATAGTCATGGCACCGTCTCTATATCGGTGGATGAGGCCACTACCGAGGGCCATGTAGTGTCTCTCTTGGAGGCAGCAGGGCTAAAACTTCCTGTGATAGGTGTCCTTTCAAAACTCGCAGAACAAAAGAGAGCAATGCCTTTGCAAATGTTACGAAAATCTGTCTTTCTTGGGCATTCAATCTTTCAAAAGTACAAAAGTGAGAGTGAGCTTATGCGGTACATTCACCGTCTTCATGGAAAAGATTATGGTCTCATGCATGGTTGTGTGCCCTTGGGTTCTTGTATCGTGAAACTTAATCCAGCTGCCGCCATGTTGTCCTTGTCGTGGTCAGAATTTACCAACCTTCACCCTCTTGCACCGAAGGAGCAAACGCGGGGATATAGTGCGTTGTGTTTGGATCTGGAGCAGAAAATAAGGGATATTACCGCTTTAGATGCCGTGTCGCTTCAGCCAAATAGTGGTGCTCCGGGTGAATATGCTGCTCTTCGTGTGATTCGCTCGTATCATAATTCAAAAAAGGAGAGCCATCGCAATGTTTGCTTGATTCCAGAAAGTGCTCATGGCACGAATTTTGCTTTGGCTCTCTTGGCAGGGATGGTGATTGTAAAGATAAAGTGTTTGGCGAATGGAAGGATTGACATGAAGGATTTAGAAAATTCTTGCCAAAAGCATACAAAAGAATCTCTCGTGCATTATGAAAACGTATCCGAGTACGTATGGTTTGTTTGACAAGTAAATCTTGACCATTACTTCGATGGTGCACTACGATGGAGGGCAACGTTATATTGATGGTGCAAAACTGAATGCCATGGTGGGTTACACAGCACCTGGATGTATTGGGGGCGATGTGTGCCAGATTAATCTCCACAAAACGTTTTCATTTCCTCATGGTGGTGGTGGGCCAGACATGGGTCCTATTGCTGTTCGTCAGCACCTGGTTTCATTCTTGCCAGATTCTGTTTTTATTCAAAATGTTGGTGGTTCCCAGCCTTTTGGTCAAGTCTCTAAAGCAGCATACGGATCGGCGTCTATTCTTCCAGTTTCTTATTTATTAATGTGGATGCTTGGTTTACGGGGTCTCAAGACATGCACGGAGTATGCGATTTTAAATGACAACTATTTAAAGAAGCGTCTTGACGGCCACTGCCCAGTTATCTTTCCAGGGGAAAACGATTTCTGCGCTCACGAGTTTATCATGGATTTAAGACCATTTAAAAAAACAGCACAAATTGAAGCAGAAGATGTGGCGAAACGACTTATGGATTATGGCCTTCACTCACCTGCCCTGGCATTTCCTGTTGCGGGAACACTCATGATTGAACCCACAGAGTCAGAGTCAAAGCGGGAGTTGGATCGTTTGGCCGATGCACTTATTTCCATTCGTACCGAAATTGCATCCATAGAGGAGGGTGAAGAGAGCACAACGAACAACGTTCTCAAGAATGCCCCGCACACGGCAAAGTGTGTCACATCAGATGATTGGGACAGGCCATACACCCGGAAAACTGCTGCATTCCCTTCGAGCCATTCACACACCGAAAAGTTTTGGCCTTCAGTTTGCCGCATCGATGGAAGCTATGGGGACAGAAACTTGATGTGCAGTTGTGCATCGAATAATTTTTGTGAGTAAAACTGTTGCAATGGGAGGCGGTAATTTTTTTAATCTATTTATTGCCAATTTTATATTTTTATTTGTTTCTGCATCCATTTCTTGGGTGATGGAGTGTTTTGGGCCTATTTGTGTCTGGTGTGATAAAACTGAACAGGGGAAGAGGGATATGATTGTGTGTGAGTGTGTGTTTGTCTGTGTGGTCGCAGAATGATTTTATGGTCTTTATCCTGTCAAGTGCTCTTCTTTAGGATGTACAATAATTCCAATGCGAAGATGCTTTGCCCTTGCAATCGCCTGGATTTTTCCTGTTTGTTATTCCCTTTTTTAATACTGTTGTTGATTTGTGAAGGTAAAGCTTTACTGCAACCATACAAATGCATGTTTGTGGGATTTTTTTTTTTGTCATGCCAAAGGTGAAGTGAACTCAGGCGTCTGCCTTTTCCCTCACTGTCGTCAAGAATATTTCCGGATACTCATCACGCAAACGTCTCAGATGTAATTTTTTCCTCAGTTTTGAATAATGTCTTGCACTTCAACAACCTCCAGCTTTGAGATAAATGGGGGTTACGATGAGAGGGAAATTGTCTACATACTTTCTTTTTTTTTTGGTGTATCTTTTAGTTTTTATTTTCTCTTGTTGCTGTTAGAAAACATTGAACGAGAGGGTTTGCTGCCCTTTTGTTTTATTTGTCCTCTCTGCCGGACGACCAGTTGTACACTGAAGTGCTCCTCGGCAACTCAGTTGTCACTGTCAATCTCATGCGCCAACTTTCCGTTGCTTTTTTGCATTGACGCAATTATTTTTATTTATTAACTGAAGCCATTCTGTCCGGAGTGCCACTTTGATTGGATTGTGTGGGATTGCCCGCCAACACCATCAAACAAAACAGGCTGAAGAGTTTACTTATTTAAACGCCATCCTGCGCGCACGTATTTTTCTTACGTTCTGTTGGGCACTCAAACAGCGAGGTGTCCGGAACTATGCGTGCGTGGAATTATTCCTGCCATGTGAGCTGCGGGCAACACCGAGGGGCTGCCACTTTGACTCCGCAGGGTTGGCAGGGAAATTCCATGCAGCCAGCTACTGCTGGTGTGTCCCCAAATGTTGTCACTCCATGTGAAGAATGTGCTTCAGCGAGTGAGGGTGTTGATTGGGTTTGTGTGCACGTTTATTGTGTTTGCTACTTTGTGTGGGCACGCAATACTTGAGGGGTGGGAAAATGGAGCGGGGCGATGCATGGCTGCGTCCCGCCCATCGTTCACTGCACGATGGTGTGGTGCACATTGTGGTGCTGACTCTGCGATGTAACTGCGGTCTCCTATGCTGCAATGGTGGTGGGTGGAGGAGAGTGTTGACCCGCGGCGGGACGGTGGGATCGTGCCTCCTTTATTTTTATTTGTGAAGGTGCACATTTATTACTAGTGTTAGTGATAGGGAAAACAAACAGACAACGTGAATTAAACAAAATAAAATAGAAAAGGACGATAATGTGGCGGTGTTGTGGCCGATTGCACGTTGTTTTGCTGCGGAGGCGGTGGGCCTTGATTGTTTCACCGACAGGCGTTGCAGTGCGGCTGCATGGCGCACCGACAGCCCCGCCGTGCGAGTGCCACGCCCAACGCCATTGGGACTGCGGGACGAAACAGCCGCGTGTGTCCTTTGGAGCCAGCGGCACCTGCTGGCCGCAGTTGGGCGGTGCGAGTGGGATGCTTCACCGCACGGGTGTTGTGATGGCACCTCGAAGCGGCATCCCCGGCGATGGTTCCGACGCTGCAACTCGCAGAGGAGTGGAGGAAACGCGGCAACCACAGTGGACCTTCAGCAGCAGCGTAAAGGACATTCTGCTGGGTGGAGACACTCTCAGCACCGACATGAAGCTGAACGATTTTCTTCGGAATTATGTTGGCGGCAGGGCGGCCGTTGGTGAAGACCACAACGTGACGATGCAGGTGTTTCTTCAGGAGCCGGATGCTTACGTACAAAACCAGCGGCTTCTTAGAATTATTTTTAATTTAACAGAGTACCAAGAGCTGAAAATACTATTGGAGGCTATCAATAAACTTCATCACGAGGGTGTTGTCTCGCTTGAAGAATGGAGGGACTATGAAGGAAAGGATACAATCACTCCTTTTCCAAAGGCAAAACTAAACAGAGTTCTCACTAAGGTACAGACAGAAGAAAGGCTAATAAGAGCACAAGAAATGAATTTTACCATTTCCACTACGATCGAAGAAGTACTGTTTAAAGGAGGAGTCCGCGTCAAGGAAAAGAAGCTGAATGATTTTCTTACGATGGAATTGGGCGGCAGGGGCGTTGTGGACACCAATCGGAGTGTCTTACTGAAGGAGTTTTTCAAGGATCCCAAGAAGTATATCCGTGTTAAAGGAGTATTGAAAGAAATACAGGCAACAGATGCTTATGCGAGGATGGAGAGGGCTGTGAGGGGTGAAATGGATATGGAAGAAGATATAAAGAAGCTTTACAAAAATGGCGTGCGCACTCTACTGAAATGGTCAGAAGCTGCTGCAGAGGTAAAAGCAAGTGTTCATGACATCACTAACGAGTTTTTGGATGCAGCCCTTGAGGAGGTGAGGAACCGAATGACGACGATTGCAGCGGAGAAAATGGAGGGATTCTACGAGTCTGTGTACAATGCGAGGTGGAGCCATGTGGTGGAATTTCCTGACAGCAAGAAAAAGAAAAAGGGGATGGGAATGGAGGTGCATGAGGGGAAACCGAAACAGTCATGGACGTACAAGAAAGTTGGCGACACCCTCGAAAGGAATGACGGTGTGCAGAAATCCGGTGCAGCGCGTCCCAGACTGATGGTGCTCACCTCGGACAAGGGATGGCCGTACACGTGGAATACGATACAGGATCTTCCTATGGACGTTTTTGTAAACTGTGAGGTGGATCGAGTGTGGCAGATCGTCAATCGCGATCTAACCAAGTGGTTCAGCAATTTTCATTTGACTCTCAATTCTTCACCCGTGCGGCGTGTGTTGATTGGGACGCCCGGGATTGGGAAGTCGATGGCTGCCAGCTCGTACCTCCTCTACCAGCTGCTGCAATGCGATATCAAGAAACTCCAAGTGGTTGTCCACTGTTTTGGTGGACGTGATGCTTACGTGTTTGACAAGACCACCAAAATCGTGACAAGATACAGCGATGAGGACATGTGCATCTCGGAGTTGAGAAGTTTGAGGAAGCGTGGGATGAAAGGGTATATTATCTACGATGTGGCAAAGAAAGGAACGCCGCCACTGAGACATTTTGCGCCCTCTACTGGATGGGGCATGATTGTGGTGTCATCGCCAAAGGTAACCAACTATGATGAGTGGGAGAAGCAAACAAAAGCCAGTCGAATCATCATGAATTGCCCCGACGAGATGGATGTGAAGGCGATGTGTGCATGGATGAAGCGAGGTGTGAAACCAGATAAACAAGCGGAATACTGGAAGGTGGTTAAAGAACACATGGAAAAAGTGGGGCCGATTCCACGTCACATCTTTGATGAGAATGAATATGGAAAACGCACGCAAGATGTTATGAGGGCCTTGGAATGGATCAATATTGGGGATCAAGGAAAGTACTTTACACAGGGAGGAGAGAAAAATTGGTATTCCGAGGATCCGTCTCACAAACTTGTGAAGATTGTTCGAGTAAGAAAAGATGGCCCATTTGAGGACTTCACTAATGCACCTATATGTACTTATCTTGGGGTTTTAACAGTATCTCGTTTGGCAAAGGTGCTGAGTCCGCATGATATTCTTTTCCTCGTATTGGGGATGAATAATGTTCTTCAATCTGAAGCTTTGGAAAGGTATGCTTTGAGCGTATTCTTGCGTGTGGAGTTTGTCACTTCCATAGTGAAGGATCTCAAGGAGCTGAAGCCACCATCAGTTTCCGAACCACGGTCCTCGGTGCTAACGTTAAACCCTCATGGTTACCCCACCGACGTAGCTGCAATAACTGAACTGAATTTCATTGATCGCCCGCAAGAATTAAATTATCGGGTGCTGTACATACCGACGATCCCAACCTTTCCGCTGGTGGACGGCTTTTTTTTTTTGAAGTCACCGCGGAAGACGCTGGTTGGGCTGCGGATGACGACGGCGAGTGCGCATCACACTACCGCCAGCACCGTGCGGCAGTTCACTGAGCACCTGGCGGTTTTTTTTAAAGGTTGGAACAAATTGTCCCGAGACATGTCGTGGGATATTATTTATATACAACACGCAGACAGCAAGCCGATGAAAAAATGGCAGAGATGTGATTACGTCAATCCCAGGAATAAAACCAACGCGGAAAAAAAGATTGTGGCGTTCTGGGACGGAAAGGTACACCAATACCAGGTTATGTTAAAAGGTAAATTTCCTGAGGAATTCAAATTTTCTCATGATGGTCTACCTGAGGGGGATGAAAAAGGCAAGAAAATTGAAAAAAAAAAATAGTAACAAAGTGCATTTTGTCTTGGTGAAATATATTAGAAAGTATTTTAGCGATTTTCATATTTGTGTGCCTACGAGGTCTGGACAGTGAATGCCTTTCTTTTCAGAGAACCGTTGTGGTCAGCAGTGCCACACTCACCACACCCTTTTTTCATTTTATTTTATTTTATTTTTCACCAGAGGCGCATCGTCACTGGAGGCTGTTGCGCACTATAGGGGCCGCATAATTTTTCTTTATTTTCATGGGATTTTGTGAAAAGAATGCTTGAGAGGACGGCTGGCTGCCCAAATAAATTCATATATCGCACAAACGAAGATATCTCTTCACAACTTTTTTCCTCTTCTATCGCACGGTCTTTTGGGAGACCGCGATTGAGGGAGTCAGGGAGCCGACAGCTGCCAGACGAAATTATTGTTTTTTTATTTATATTTTTTATCTTCACAACCACCCACTTTGTGATCCCCAACTTGCGGCGTTTTTTTCTTGTGGCTGGAGGAGCCCCAAAGGCCTGCCACTTCGCAGGGGATAAGTGTTTCTAATTCTAACTATGTGCAGAATTCCACGCCAGTGATTAGCAGAATGTGTATACATAGACACATTGGGGCAAACATTACGGAGAACTCACTACCTCTCCATTAACCGCTTTTTTTCCCTTTTTTCTTTTTGGGTAATTACAGGATCCGGTCAGCGGCCCAGAAGATTCTTTCCTCTGTGAAGGTGTGCACTTATTTTTGGTGTTAATGATAGGGCAAACCGACAGACAACGTGAATAAAAAAAAAAAAAAAGGGCGATAATGTGGCGGTGTTGTGGCCGATTGCACCTTGCGTTGCTGCGGAGGCGGTGGGCCTTGACTGTTTCACCGACAGGCGTTGCAGTGCGGCTGCATGGCCCACCGACCACCGAGCCGTGCGAGTGCCCTGCCCAACGCCATTGGGACTGCGGGACGGAACAGCCGCGTGTGTCCTTTGGGGCCAGCGGCACCTGCTGGCCGCAGTTGGGCGGTGCGAGTGGGATGCTTCACCACACGAGTGTTGTGATGGCACCTCGCCGTGGCTCCAGTGTTGTTTCCGATGCTGCAGCTCGACATGTGGTGGGGAGTGAAGTGTGGCCGCAGTCGACTCTTGAAAGTCGGCTGGATAAAGTGCTGCTAGACGGATACAATCGCAGCACCAAAGTGAAGCTCAATGACTTGCTTTGGAGTTATTTTGGCGGCAGGGCGGCCGTTGATGAAAGACTACAATGTGACGATGGAGATGTTTGTTCAGGAGCCGGATGATTACGTACAAGACCAGCGGCTTCCTGAAGAAATTCTTAACTTAACTGCGTACCAAGCGCTGGAGGCCATTACTGGGCCTCTTCACGAAGGTGTGTTCTCTCTCGGGCAACGTAGGGACTATGAAAGAAAAGGATACGATCACTCCTCTTGCAAGGGGAACACCAAACGGGGTACTCACGCAGGTACTGACAGAAGCGAGGCGGGAGGCAGAGGAAAGGCTAAGACGAGCGCAAGAAATGAAATTTACCATTTCCACTAATATCGAAGACGTACTGTTTAAAGGGAAGAGTTCGCGTCAATGAAATGAAGCTGAACGATTTTCTTACGAAGGAATTGGATGGCAGGGGCGTTGTGGACACCAATCGGAGTGTCTTGCTGGAGGAGTTTTTCAAGGATCCCAAGAAATATATCCGTGATAAAGGAGCATTGAAAGAAATACAGGCATCAGATGCTTATTTGAGGGCCGTGAGGGCTTTACGGGAGGAAATGGATATGGAAGAAGATTTAATAAAGCTCCATTATAATCATTTAAGCACTCTATTTGGGTGGTCATTAGCTACTGCAGAGATAAAAGCAAGTGTTCATGAAATCACTAGAAGTTTTTTGGATGCAGCCCTTGAGGAGGTGAGGAACCCAACGACGACGGGCGCATCGGAGAAACTGGAGGGGTACTACGAGTCTGTGTACAATGCGAGGTGGAGCCATGTTGTGGAACTTCCTGACAGCAAGAAAAAGGAGATGGGAATGGAGGTGCATGAGGGGAAACCGAAAAAGTCATGGACTTAAAAGAAAGTTGGCGACACCCTCGAAAGGAATGACGGTGTGCAGAAATCCGGTGCAGCGCGTCACAGACTGATGGTGCTCACCTCGGACAAGGGATGGCCGTACACGTGGAATACGATACAGGATCTTCCTATGGACGTTTTTGTAAACTGTGAGGTGGAGCGAGCGTGGCGGATCGTCAGGAATGATCTAACCGAGTGGTTCAGCCCTCACCCTGGGACCTACTTTACGCCCAAGCAGCGTCTGTTGATTGGGACGCCCGGGATCGGGAAGCCGATGAATGCCAGCTCGTACCTCCTCTACCAGCTGCTGCACTACGATGCGGAGCAGCTCCCAATGGTTGCGTACGTTATTGGGAGTCAATCATTCCTGTTTGACAAGACCACCAAAACGGTATCAACATACAGGGATAACCCCAGGATTGAGGATGTTGTAAACATTTTTTTTTTCCGTGGGGTTAAAGGGTATTGTATCTACGATGCGACATTGGCATGTCGTCAACCGTCTGCTGGTTTGCCTTGCAAGGGATGGGGCATGATTGTGGTGACACCACCAGAAAAAAGCGAATATGAGCTGTGTACAAAAAAAAATGGACGCTAGTGCAATCGTAACGAATTGTCCCGAAGAAAACGATGTGAGGGCAATGTGCATTTGGATGAAGCGCAATCGACCCCTGCAGGAGCAAGCGGAATACTGGAAGGAGGTGAGGGGTCGCATGAATAACGTGGGACCAATTCTCCGCTCCATCTTTGATAAACAGGCATATGATGACCGCATTAAAGCGTGTCAGCAAGCCGTGGATGGGTCGACCGCTTCGGAATTAGAGCGTAATTTTGGTATTGGCTGCTGTTATTCGTGTAATGACAATGACTTGTCTCAAAAGCTTGTGAAGGTTGTCCGAGTACGACGAGGAAACAACATTGAATCGCCTCTGAATTTGCTGGTATCTCCCCACCTCGAACGTGAAACTTTGTCCAGGTTGGAGAATGAAATGAAGCAGTCCGATTTTATTTTTTTTGTTTTGAGGTTCTGGGATTATGTCCCACCATATATTATTGAAAAGTATGCCGTATCCGCATTTTTGAATGAGGAATTCCTGCGTGCGATAAGACTTAAAATCAAGGAACTGAGGCCACCAGGACGACGTGAGCCACACAGCTGTGCGCTGAAAGAGCACTCGGACACGAGCTTCACCAGAAAAGAGGTTCTACCGCCACCGGAACGTCTTTCCAATCCTGTTGCTATGGACCACTGGGTGCTGT